CGGTCAAGAAGAAGACTTCGAAGAAGCCGAGAGAAAGGCTTTAGCAATTGGTGCTACCAAATTTGTTGTTGTTGATGTCAGAAAGGAATTCGTTGAACAAGTTTGTTTCCCAGCTATTCAAACCAACGCTATTTACGAGAATGTCTACTTATTAGGTACTTCGTTAGCTAGACCAGTTATTGCTCAAGCTCACATCAAGGTTGCTGAAGAAAACGGATGTTTTGCTGTTTCTCACGGTTGTACTGGTAAGGGTAACGATCAAGTTAGATTTGAATTAGCTTTCTATGCATTGAAGCCAGATGTTACTGTTATTGCTCCATGGAGAGACCCAGCATTTTTCAACAGATTTGCTGGTAGAAAGGACTTATTAGAATATGCTGCTTCTAAAAACATCCCAGTTGCTCAAACCAAGGCTAAGCCATGGTCAACTGACGAAAACTTGGCCCATATTTCCTTCGAAGCTGGTATTTTGGAAGATCCTGATACCACTCCGCCTAAGGATATGTGGAAATTGACTGTCGACCCACTCGATGCTCCAGACGCCCCAGAAGATTTCTCTGTTTACTTTGAAAAAGGTATACCAAAGAAATTGATCTTAGATGGAGGGAAGAAAGTAATTACTGAACCAGTCGAATTATTTACTGAAGCTAATGCTTTAGCCAGAAGAAATGGTGTCGGTAGAATTGATATTGTTGAAAACAGATTCATTGGTATTAAGTCTAGAGGTTGTTATGAAACTCCTGGTTTGACCGTTTTAAGATCAGCACACATTGATTTGGAAGGTTTAACCCTTGATCGTGAAGTCCGTGCCATTAGAGATCAATTTGTTACCACTACTTACTCCAAATTATTATACAACGGTATGTACTTTACACCAGAATGTGAATATGTTAGAGCCATGATTGAACCATCGCAAAAAACCGTAAATGGTGTTGTCAGAGCTAGAGCTTACAAGGGATCGTTGTCTATTTTAGGTAGATCTTCTGATACTGAAAAGTTATATGACGAGACCGAATCATCTATGGATGAATTAACAGGCTTTTCCCCAGAAGACACTTCAGGATTTATTGCCGTTCAATCCATTAGAATTAAAAAATATGGTGAAGCAGTTAGAGAAAAGGGTAATACATTATCTTTATAATTGTTGCACTACACTAACTTAAGAAATAATTAAATAGGGAATTTAAAATAGGTAAATAATTAATACATTGTAAAAAGTACTTAAAAAATATGCTATTTTTTTATTTAATCAGCAGTCCAGTATTCATTTTCGTATTCATCGTCGAATACGGTATAATCAAAGTCGTACTTTTCTCCAACCAAAGACTTGATAATAATTATTGATTCATCAAGACGTCTGTAGATCATATGTGCTAATAATAATGCAACAATATTACATTGACCATCAGCACTGAATAATTTCTCGTAATCCAAATTTTTCACCATTGACTCATGCAAACTTTCACCTTCATCGACAGTATATTCCTTTTCAATATTCGGCTCTACATTATAAAACCGTTCACTTAAAGATATTTTTTCAGTTCCCCATTTTGATCTTAATAAATCCAAATGTTGTATAGAAAGATTTGCTTGTGTGATTTTAGGTAATGCTGTTTTAGATTTTAATGAACCAGCACCCATATGAGTCATAGAGAAGACATTAGCAGTCATAGATGGACTTGTCCATCCCATTCTGCCCATTATAATAGGTACCCAAAATTCTGGTTCGTCAAGTTGGTCGAATAATGATTGAAGCATAACATACAATTGAACAATATCAGTAATCAACGTTTGTAATCTAATATATTTTGATGCAGGCCAATCACCCGCTATAGGAATTTCGTACTGAAGAGGTCCAATTATTCTTGTAATACTCGCAAGTTTCAATAAGACCGTACGGAACTTTTCTAGGGTTTCATCGTGCCTCCGTAGAATATGGACATTATGGTTCTCTAATCTTCCTAACGCAAATCTGGATACATCACAATGAAGTAGCCCTACCTGCTCTAACGCTTGGGCCAAGATTTTTCTAATTACAACCTTACTAGTAGAAACTCTTGGAAAACAACTAGCCAAGAAACTAATAGCTATACCAACAGTTACACTCACATGCCTCTTCCAAGCAGCTGTAAAACCATATCCAATATCACCAGTAGATTGTGGATGATTCCCATCAAGCCAACTTGTTCCGGTAATCAAAACAACGGTAACACAAAAAAGAATTGTTGGAACAAGATTTAAATGAACGGAAAAATGCCTGAAGAAACATAAATAGAAAAAGAGAAATCCAGTAACAACACAATACCCATAGTAATTACCGGTACCATTACCTGCAGAAATATACCATGCAACCATTCCAACTATACCCGCTGCAAATCCATAGAAAAATCTCGCAAGGATACCATAAATAGCTTCACCAACGTATTCGGAAACTGTAAGACAACACACAACAGGGACCCACATCAATCTATTATTATAATACCATTGAGCTGTAGTTCTACAAAATGCAGGAATACAACAAACCGTAACAAGCCCACTAGCCCTTATCCAAAACCAAAGATGCTTGTTTAAAAGTATGTTGTAGAATGAAACACATTTCATACCGAAAATTTGGTATACATGCGAAGGTGGAAATGCATCAGCGTCTCTGGTAGAAACTTCACTCTGCCAGAAACTAGATTCATGTTCATCTGGTTCTCCATCTGCTATGGTGCTGTTGATGTAACGAGCTGAATCTCTAACCGACGAAGTGAATGGTGTTATAAGACTTGGAATCGGTCTATTTTTGTCAATAGAAAGGAACAAGTCAATCATTCTAATTATCGCTTTGGACTGATCTTTCCATAAATTTAGAAACAACGTAGCTTGACTAATAAGACATAATAATACGTCTTCATTTCTAGTAGTTCCTTGCATTAGTTTTTCGATTCGCTTATGATCACTCCACTTTTCTAATTCGTTTTTCAATCTCCTTTTTGCTTCTAATAGACTTTCATTACGTTCTTGTTGCCTTTTTTTATGCTTTTCATGACTCCCAGGAATGATTATAGTATAGGTCCTAAACTTATTTGCTTCAGTTAGCCATGCCGCAACAGATTCGAGCCCAAAATCAACGGCTTCTAAAACCGATGTAAAATGTGTCGTAATAAAACGAGCCACGATATCTAAATCTTTTAAAGTCAAATCATCTTCTCCGTCTGTCGAATAAATTCTATTCCTTAAAAGTTTAATCCGGCGACTATTTTCGTACTCTCCAACAGATCTATAAGATTGCTGTAGAGCTGTGAAAAGCTTTGAATGTCCGGTTATATTTTTACGGTTATATGAAGATGTAGTGCTCGCCCTGCTGCGACCAAATCCCCTAATGTTATCAGATACAACATCTAGCCTCTCATGAAGTAATTGATAGAAATATTCGTAACCTGCCGATAAATTAATCAAGTTCTTGAGTAAGTATCTGAATTCACCAGCATCCCCAGCATCAAGTCTACCAAAAGAAATTTCATATTTTATTGTACTTGCCAAAACTTCAAGTTGGGAAATTTTATTTCTGAAGTTTGTGATTTCTTTGGAATATTTTTCGAAATTCAAAAAGTCAGACCCAGAAGGTTTCAATGTCTTCATGAAGTTAATATTGTTTTTGGTCGCTTTATTTAAACCGCTCAAGATTTTCGAAGAACCATTGAAATATAAGAAGCTTGAAGTGGTGGGAAATATCAAAATGGAAGTGACAATTTTGGTTAAGAATGCGATTCCCATAGGTTTTATAATACTATAACCAATTACCTTAGGCATGAATACAGGGAAATAAACATAGTAATTAGTAAGCACGATCAACGAAATAATCCCAGCCACGAATCCTGGTCTTATCAAAGGATGTAATCTTAATGACATGCCATACATGGTCAAACCAATCATTAAACAGAATACAAATATAACTGTGCATTTGGTGGTCAAAAATCTTCCTGTGAATATCTGAGGAGTCATACATGACAGTATATTCTCTGCGGTACATGAGCCATCTTGAATAAGCAAGTTGACCAAATCTTCAGGCGTTATCGAACCTCGTAATCGATTGCTAATTAGTAAGGCTATAGTAGCAAATAGCCATGAAACCATCACATAAGAGAAGCAAAGGATACTTAGGAAAATGTTGAGGACTATCAGCGTTCCACCGGCAGCGATGATGAACCCTACGATTTGCATCAAGTATGCAGCGTTTCCTATCCAGTTACCGGTTTTCGGTATAACCATCAATATAACCGTCACCCAGAGCTGTGCCCATGTCCTAGAGACAACCTTAAACGATTCATAATCCAAATGGTCAAGAAAGTATTCTGGACGTACTATCTTAACAAATTTCCTCCATGCTGTTTGCTTTTTATTTGGTATTTCCGATTCTATTGGGTTATTTGTATCACTTTCATCATAAATATTAGTTGGTTTGTCTTCATAAGTATATGCTAGTTCATTTATATTTTCTTCATTAATGTGTGTACTACGGGTGCGTTGCAGTTCCACATATGCAATAGGATCAACCTCACTACTACTATCCGTGATACTTTCATCACTACTATAAACAGTTCGGGCCATGATATACTGTTAACATTCTATATACTATCCTTCAAAACCAAAATAAGCACCCATTAATGTAAATAAAATATGAAAATTCCGTATATACTGCATGAGGGTGACAAAAAAAATCAAAATGACGGAGACTTACTCCGAAATGATGTGCCGTTAGACATAGCCATATGATTTATGAGTATAGTCCTATACAAAGGAGATCGATGTATCGAGGATAACACTTGTATATTATGTGATATTTTAAAATGGATAATTATGTAATGGGATATAATGACGAATGTAGCTATACGTAGTCTGTACTTAGATAGAGATAACTTCGACTAATGCAATTGAAGCATATTGGATGAATATCCAAGAGTATTAAAAATAATATTTACAATATAAGTGAAGGGTTAGGTTTGAAACAGTGTCATTTATGCTGATAATTCATCTAACCAGGATTGTAAGTTCGCTAAATACGCAGGTATGTCTTTGCCAATAATACCAGTAGGAATGGTATTTCTAGCCACTTTATTGACCTTACTTGATTCGTAATGCGATTGCAAGTGGGAAATAAGACAGCTGAGTGTATTGTATTGCATGTATTGGTCGGGTTGGGCTTCATTGTTGGTATGTGCTTCATTTTTGATGTATGCGTCTTGTCCTAGGTCCTTTAAAAATTGTGACTTTTGGTTATAATAGTACCAGCTCGTAAACCAGAGCACCTTATTGAACATTGGAAATCTAAATTTTGCCGGAACTCTGGTTACTTTTTCGATTTCATAGATGCGCAAATGCATGGAGAGATCAATAAGAGTTAGAAAGTTACCACCTATTACTAGCGAATCTTCTGGCGTATAAACAGCATGTATCCAGCCACTAGGAATTATGAACAAGTCACCGGGACATAGAGTCACCTTGAACCCTCCTGACGGCGTACAACTTTTACCCTTGAATGTTTTGGTGAAATCGCCAAACCACATATAATTTTGGTCGGGTTGAAGACACCATGATGTATAAATATCGAGATTTCGCTCTGTCGGAGGATACATCAAGAATGTTTTAGACCCCGAACATACAGTATAGTAAACTGATGTTCCACTGAAATCTATATGGAAGTCTGTGAACGAGCCTGTGACAGACATAAGACAGTATTTAGTGACCTTAGGTCTAGGAGTTTTATCATTCCAAACCTTATCAACTAAATCCATATCTCTAACAATCTTAGGACGTCTGAAGGATTTACCAAAGTTATCGACGTCAGAAATTTCTAGCGAGATAACGTTCCGTATTCTATCACGACTTAGTTCATCTGTGTTGAAATAATCTCTCCATTTTCCCAAGTTCCACCCTGGATTTACACCTTGTTGAGTGAGAACATCCATTACGTCTAGAGGCGTATCGTCACCAACTTCATCGGCTATATAGTCGATCGTTATTTCTTTTCCCGGTATCGGTAACTTCATATCGACTATATCAAGATCTGCCCGAGGTATCAATACAGGTCTTGTAAGATGTGTTTTTAATGCATATTCAGTAGTGATATCCTTCCGGAGGTCTATGTATGGGTTAATTTTACCGTCTATTTCATTAGCATTCACTTCGAATGAGAGAAACTTATCTATATGAGGATGCTGTGATTTATCAACTGCAAAAACATCACCATCATTTAATGCAACATAATCAATCTGAACCTTTGATCTTTTCAGTTTCCTCTTAGGTATTGATGGTCCGTGGCTTTGAGAACATTCTTCACAATGATATGAATGCAAATTGTTCACTTCAATTTTAGGTATCTTTAGACAAGAAGCGTGAAACCATTGGTTACAAATATCACATTGAAGCCACGCTATATTATTGAACGTTGTGGAATCCTCTAATGGATTCGACACACATATAGGACAAGTATCTATATCTGGCATACTTCAAATTTTTGTTTAGCTGTAAAAATTAATCATACTCGAATTATCATTTGAGTCACCATTATTAAAAATCGACTTATCAAAAATCAGTTGATTTTGGTCTTTTTATAACAATTTATATTATATATTCAAACATGCTTCTAAATAATAGGCAGATACTCAGGAGCACAGGAAGAAGATGTCTTGTGAAAACAAGCTGCTTTAATGATCGTACAAATAAGGCAATTGGATCTTATCGGTTTACATCTACTCTATCCAAAGGTTCGGGATTGGCATCTCCATCAACAGTACAGACTATGCAAGAACAACAGGAAATATTTTTGAAGAGTTATAAGATAAGATCATCATTGGAACGCCTTATTTATCATTATGCCCAAATTCCGTTGACGACAATTAGTTTAGATGGTCTCTGTGAACAATCAAAGGATTTATCCTCATCATCTATCTTACAATATGCGAGAGACACGGTAGAGTCATTACTAACATACAACGCTAGAAGAATTAGGGAGTTTAGGAATTTGCCGTATTTAGTCGTTTTGAATCCATCTATATCAGAATCGTATAGTATTTACTTAGAAACGATGCATTCCTTGATAACCGCATCTTTGAATCTTCCCACCACGTTAGAGGAGAATGAAAAGTTTTGTAACGATGTGCTCAGTGGGTTTATTGATGCTCACGCTGACACATTGCCCAGCATTTCAAAAGGATTCGATGAAGTCTCTAGATTCTTGGGAGTGGAACAGATAAAGCAGTTTTTGGATCAACATTTGAAAGAGAGAATTTGCATGAGACTAATTGCCCACCAACATATAGAATTATCCAATACATTGAGAGATTCTTCAAGTTTTGCCGAAGGCAGTAAGTATAACGGGGTTATCAAACAGTTAGATATCCCCACTGTGATCAACAAGAGTGCAGAATTGGTGAATGATATTTGCTTGATGAAATACGACCAATCTGTTAAGCTTGAAATCGATACAAACCTATACCCACCCAACTATTGGAGTGGTAAAGCTCCTGAATTGGAACCCAAATCAAACGCAGAAAACTACATTTTCCCATACATTGAATATCATCTTGATTATATTCTAATGGAATTGTTCAAAAATTCCTTCAGAGCCCACATAGAAAACAACGTGCTTGATCCTGTTAGAGTGACTATTTCGATCTCGAAGGATCCCGCGTACCTTGAGTTACGTATCCGTGATAAAGGTAAAGGGATCAGACCTGCTACCGTAGACCATATGTTCGATTATTCGTTTTCGACATATGAATCTAATGAAGGAGAGAGTTTTAAGACTTTAAATGTACCACCAGGTTTAGGCGGTAATACCATAGCTGGTATTGGTTACGGTTTACCTTTACTGAAGAACTATGTTGAAATATTTAATAACACTTTATCGCCTAACCCCGATGGCGAGGTCAAAACTAAGGGTCTGCTAACAGTGCAGAGTTATTACGGATGGGGTACTGATGTCTATCTCAAAATTGTAGGTTCCTAGTGTCTTTAGAAATGGTTATAGTTCTTACATACACAATACTAGTATTTAATCCACGCTCGCTTTTTTCTTGTCACAACCATCGCAAAAGGGTGGACATAATTAATTGCTGATCAAATACATGATACTTAACGCTATAATACATCTATAAACAATTGGTACTAGATTCATGTACGATTCTTTCGCTAGCTATCCACATAATTACTATACTAAAAGTGATGATGAGGCAGAAATTCCTGCAACTACTTTTCCTGGTGAAAATTTGTTGACCAAGGACCATTTGCTAGAACAATTGCAGCCAATATTAATCATCAGCGATCCGTCTGAATGTAACAATAACTTAAGTCTTTTTATGAAGTTAATCGTTGAAAATATATATGACCGAAATGAAGAAACTACACACAATTATCAAAAATTATCATCTTATGCACTTAAATTGTTGACCCTGAATTTATTTATCAAGAACTACGAATTGTGCCTCGGTAAAATATTAGGGTTATTGGCAGCTTTAAGTCGGGATACATTGTGCTCAAATGAAGATATCGACGAAGATGTGAAGTTTGAAATCGAGTCATTACGGGAGTTCATTTGCATTATTTTACTTTTACTCTTGAAATTGACTAATAGTCCAGGAGAGAAGGGTGAAAAGTCAAAAATATTGGAAGCAGTCAATAGAAATGAGTTGTACAGCATCTTGTCTGACCTTGGAATTATACCTATCATCGCCAATGTAATAACAAATCATATTGTGACGACCGATAAATCTAAATCCCCGTTCTTGTTATTGAAATTTGGCGGGGATATTATATTCGAATACCTCTACAACTGTGAATTATTAACTGATGTCGAGTTTAATAGTTTGACTAGCGAGACTAAGTTAATCCCTACCATTATTAAGCATTTGCTAGCAAACGATGATTTTGATAATTACGATACCGATGCTGACGACTGGGAGGGTGAAAATAAACTATTTATATATGAGGAGTTTAAGTTACTATTACTCATCAATGAACAATATTTGATGAAATCATATTCTTCCAAAGAATCAAAAAATAAAGTTTTTGATGGCTTAATGATGGGAGATGCTCATCCGTCCCCAGTAAATTCACAACCTAGTAATAAACAGATTAACGGGTTTATCAACTTGTTAATTTATTATATTAATCGTGAAGAGTCTCAAATTATTAAAATCCTTATTTTAAAATTCTTGTACCTTATATTTACAACTTCCTATACTGCAAAATTGTTTTATTTGAACGACCTAAAGATTTTGTTGGATATAATCATTCGTGAATTGAACAATCTAGACTATAGTGGGAATTCGAATGGAATATTGATTGTCACATATTTAAAAGTTTTGTATCCTTTATTGATGTTCTCTCAATTAAGTGAATTGCCCGGAGGTTATAAAAATGAAGATATATTAGAAATCTTGAGAAACTTGGTTCTTAATTCAGAATCAGGTAATCGTAAGACAACTGAGATTACTGAAGCAACTGACGAAAGCCAAGCAGATATTATTGCAAAGCTATCATTGCGATGCATGTCCATACCTTGGTTAAGGAAGTCACAAAGTAAGAGAAAAAACCAAGACAACTCGAACTTGGTAAATAACGTTTATGGCAAGTTATCTGCCGCCTCCTCTTCATCATCCTTGAATTCGAAACTGAGCTTTGTTGGTAAACGTTCTGAATTGTACGAGAATTCTGATATTTCAAATGAATCACTTGGTAAGGCCTTCACCCGAATTGCATCAGTCAGAACGTCAGGAAGAATCGACTATCATATGCATGCATTAGTGCATAACGAAAACGACCAAGTAGGCTCTAATGGACTGAAGAGCTCTTATGTCGAAAATAATCATAATATTTTCTTAGATAATGAATTTAAGTCTTTGTCCATTAATACCACGGAAGATTTTGCTAATTCTCCATGGATTCCAATATCAGATGAGTCAAATTTGCTAGATTTACCGAAAGAATATTTAAAAGATGAGCCAGTCCAGCCCTTAAAAGGACCAGAATCGGCGTCATCCTCAATTAAGTCAGATTCGAGTCTAGCACAGAAAGCATCAAAGAAGAAAGCGCCGCCACCACCTCTTCCACCGAAAATTTTCCTGCCGAAACCTAATCATATGCATTTAGAGAAGAGATCTCAATCACATACACCACCACCACCACCTCCTCCAAGACGCAGGCGTTTGTTACATCTATGCGAGCATTAAATGTAGTTTTATATTGCATCATTGTATTAATATAGTTCGGTTTATTACTGCTTTAATATACATTTCTAATATTTATTTAATCTAAGTATTTTCTTGTAGAACAAGCTTTTTGGCATATAGTCTACAAATACCATGCGGAACTGGTAGTTTGTTCTAATACTATCATTCGACTTGATTTATCACTCATATATATATATATGCACATGTTATTACTTTCCTATTTAATACTCTTAATTGATTAAATTGCTTAAAAACGGACACTACATAGTTATATCATCTTTAAAACTTAAGATATCATCAAACCGTAGACCGTTGATCTCAGTTCTTGTATATGAATCTAACTCTTTGTTCACGATATCTTCATCTTCATGATCTGCTAGGTCACTTGCAGCCACTAGAATTAACCCACGAGATCTAATTAAGGGTATTAATTTAGGAACAAAATTTAATAAATGAATCGATGCAATTAGCCCAATCAAGTTATTGTTAATGGTAAAATTAACTGCTTCCTTAATGGATCTGATAGTTATTTCCTGACCACGATTAAAGTCTCTACTAGTCAAAGACTTAGACTCGCTATCTTGATCTTCATTTGATGGTTTTTGACTCATTAAAAGACCATTCGACGACCTAGGTTCAAATATCCCTTTCACACTATTATAAGAAATTCCATTCATACTCAAGAATACGGGATAATTAGGTTGTTTCCAATTAATAATTTTGCAAATCAACGAATTTGATGACAAGAAAATAATCGACCTACCGTTACTAGATGCGTTTTTAACCTTCTGGGATCTTATATGATTGAATACATCGTTCAATGTGAAATCAATAAAATTGTTTAAATTCTGTTGAATATTGCCAACGAATGGTAAGTTTTCTAACTCATATGATGATGGGAATATCAATTCCAAATTCAAATTAATATCAACATTCAAGATATCCAAAAACATATTCAAGGGGAAATAAATGATTTTTAATAATTTCTTAATTAACGAAATGTCTTTGTTTGTCATTTTTGACAAATCACTTATAACCTTCTTATAATCAAAAAGGCTATCTGTGATTGAACTCAATTGTTCCAACGACAAGTTTGGTAAATATAAGTCAATAAATTCAGTAACTGCTATTGACCACTGTGGACAAACAATGGGTGTACCGTCGTTTAATAGACATATTCTAATTCTTAGATATTCTCCTGATAAGGATGTTGATGTAACAAAAGAAGAAGGAATAGAACCGGCACTTGAATCAATTGCCGATGCTAATGGATTATTGTTGCTATTATTGTTATGGTGGCCATTATTACTACCTTTGGCTGCATTAATACTTGAAGGTGATAAAAAGTTATTAGGAGACAATCCTCCAGCTGCATTAAGTTTCAAGTTTGTTCTTGTTTTCACAAAACTTGTAGACGATTTCCAATACGTATCAAACTTTGAAGTTTCAAGCAAGTTTCCAGAAAATGGGTAAATAACTTGGTAATTAAATTTCAATTGTCCAACATTGCGTAACCTTAAATCGAATAACGGTAATTGAATGGAATTAACTTCTGGTGATGAAGTATCTATTTTTGAGAAGGTTATCGCTGTGGTCTTAGCAATGAGTCTCGTACCGAATTTTGGAAAAATTTCAAAATCAATCTTGAATTCGTGTAATGATTCAACGTCAGCTTGAAAAATACAGTTATTATTGGCCTTTGTATCGTCTGCTACTGGTAACAAGATATTCCGCGGAACAATGTCTGATATATTGGACGTAAGTGTTATTCTTCCGGGTTTCATATCGGCAGCAGAATTGAATAAACTAATAAAGTCTGAGTCTTTTGGAAATATCAATTCGATTAAAACTTTTTGTTCCAAGAAGTTGTGACCATACCTTCTTAATGGTAAAATAGGTGGCGGTAATTGGAGATCTGGAATAGAATCAATATTATTTTTATCAATATTTCCACTATCTTCCGAATCCTCTTCATCCGACATCTCCATATCATTAAGTATAGCAGAATTATCAGCAGGTGCTGTTCCATAATCCTGTATGCCTTTTTTGCCATCCTGTGAATACATTTCAGAATTGAGAGTACCAGCACTTTTAACATTTGAAAGCCTGCCACAAATATCGTTGTAGTAACTTAAGAGCTCGTTCAAAACACTAATATGACCTTCGATTACACAGTAGTATAAAACGTTATAACCGTCTTCATCAAGAAGATCCAATTTAGCACCTGACTTCACTAATTCTTGGGTCGTTTTAACATGGCCCTCCAGAGCAGCATAAAAAAGCGGTGTCCATTTATTCAAACCATCAAATTCATTCACTCTAGATCCATAATGAATCAATAATTTAATCAATTTGTAATGTCCTGATCTTGAAATAACATGTAATGGCAACAATCCTTCCACATCTTGTTGATTAATCAATTTATCGTTTGGCTGACTTTTAGATAATAAATATGCTAAAATTCTATAATCACCAAACTTACATGCGTAGTTAATAGGAAGATATTGTAATTTGCTGTCATCAGATTTTGGATAACAATTGCTTCCCATCTGAACTAACTTTTGGATTACATCAAAGTTCCCATGCTTAATAGCCAATAACAAAGCTGACATCGATTCGTTATCCAAATCATCAATATGGTCTTTTGGAAAAAACAGCGATATTGAATTGATCAAATCAAGTCGACTATTCTGAGCAGCGTAATGAAGACAATTTCTACCATTGAAGTCTTTACAGACAAGCAACTGTTCACGAGTCTTTTTGGATGAATTGTTCATAATATAATTTACTATCGAGGTTCTGGAATGGTTTATACTATCAGTGGAATTTATGACCTTTACTCCATTGTTTATAACAACATGATGATGGCTTTCGTGTGTAGACGCAGGAGGAATAGAACAACATTCATGAATAATATTCTTATTATTATTGAAGTCATCGCTTATAAAAGCAAAATCAAGGTCGTAATTAATTAAATTCAAGAATGCTTCTAAGAATGAATCTGATATTTTTAAATTAGTTATAGCTAGCAAAAAAATCTTGGATAATTTGTATTTGACAACTTGATCTAAATTCGATGAAGACAGGCTCTTAGATGACGATCTAACTTTGTCTATCCACCGTGATAATAAGGATAAATCAGGATCTTTAATTGTTGCCACGTTAACAAAACTAGTGTACAATTCATCTACTTCATTATTCTGTAAATTGATAACAGAGTTGTTTCTTAATGATTGAAAATTAATTGAACCAATAGAACCATTTCTTTCAATATTGGAAGCATCATTGGATAATTGACTTACATTCGTATTTGAGCTTGTTCTTGATAAGTTTTGAATTATTTGTTGTGCATTTATGTCATTTGATTGATTTGTATTCACAAAATTATTGATTGATGTATAATCCCCATCTAAAATAGATTCTAAATCAAATAAGGATTGAGTGACTAAATCACTTAATTCGTTAATTTCATTTTTATGGAACACTGGCTGCACACTAACTGCTGTCAGGATAAATAATTCTTTTGTATGTGACTTTGATCTCTTATCCCATTTTTTCACGACTTTCAGAAATCCAGTTTCATTCAATTCTATAAATTGTTGCAATCTTATGAGGTCCTGGTGTATTTTCTTGAAATTTTGATACAAATTCAAATACGAAATTGAATTTCTAAAATTAGCATTAGAAGACCCAGATGAAGACCCTCCCGATGCATTAATATTTCCAAGCTGTACGTATTCATTAGACTTTAAAAGTAGTTCATTCTTCTTCATTACTAACAAATCCAAGGTGATGGCTAAATTGGCTTGTTTTTCCAAATAGAACGAATTGACCTTATCTAACTCTCTTTCCACTCTAAAAAAAAAAGATGCCTTATTCTCTTTCAATGCCTGCTGGACTTCTTGCGATGTAGCTGATACTACTCCATTACTACTGCTTGTAGAACTATTTTGATTAGCAGGAACCGCTAATTTCTTGATAAGTTTCTTCAAACCCTTATAGTCTATAAAATGTCCGGAATACTCTGGAAGTTCTAATTGCCTGGAGGCAAGATACTTCCCAAACTTCATTTTGGAATCCTAATGACCTAATATATTCTGTAACAGTAGATATGTCTGAGTATTTAAGTATATATTCTCATATATTTTCCATCATTGACCAAAACCGTTTATTGTCTCTCCCACGTGGAGATACACGTCCTACATCATTACTGAAAAATTATGTACTACGATAAGAGGTTATTAATACTTGATTATTTATTGCACAAGTAATAGATATATATCTACATATCTATACACAAGTGATTTATATAATGAATAAAATGAATAATACCGCCAGTAGAATTATTTGATTTCCTTGGCCTTGTCAAATTGTTCTTTAAACTTATCAGCATTTTCCTTGTTACCAAATCTAATAGCTAAGGTTTGTGCTTCTGGTTCACCTTCGGAAACATCTGCAGTGACGTTGTAAACCCATGATCTGTCAGAACCAATGTTAGCCTTTAACTCGTATTCTGGAGCAATTAAGTGGTTGGCACAAACCTTCAAAGTTTTGTCTCTTCTCATTAAAATACGAGTCTTGCCTGTTTCCTTGTGCTTCAAGAACTTGACATCCCCTGTTCCTCTTTCTTTCCATTCCTTCGTGTCGGCGTGGAATCTGAATAACTTGGCACGGACCTTATATAAAACATCTTCATTCTCTTCGTTGGTCTTAACATCGACTTTTTCTAATTGTACCAATGGTTCAAAGTGAACATCGACTTCTTCTTCATCGGCCTTATCATCTTCCTTTTCATCATCCTTGGATTCTTTTTTATCTTCCTTCTTGGTTTCATCTGAGTCTTCCTTCTTGGCTTCCTTCTTGGCTCCAAACATAGAAAAAACGTTGGAACTTGGAGGTTGTGGAGCAGAAGTGTTCTCTTCTGTCTTTGGGGCGGTTGCTTCAGACGACATCTCTTTTTATTATTATTCGAATTGGTTGTTATCTATATGGTTTGGATC